AACGTTTAATCATCCGGATATGCAATAATCATTCTTAATAACAGGGAACTTTATTTACAACCATTATTATTAAATTAGCATAGATTTGTAGAAGAATGTAACCATTTTGAACAGCGAACTGAATAATATCCTTCACGAGTGCAATGTTTTCAATTTATTCTTCTACTAAAGTGTTTCCAATCTTCGTATGAAGCTTCCTTATACATATTTAAATACTTTATGTTCCTTATTGCTTTTTTTTTCTTTTTCAACGACAATTCCAGAAAATGTATTAAATTTGGTTCTCAAATAGCTACCCGATAGTTCTTCCCTAACTTTTCCGATTTATCATATTTTCGTAGCTTCCTAAATAAATATAACGAAGGGGAGTGTCAATATTCCAAAATGCCATTCAGGAAATTGATGATTATACGATAAGTCGAACTGTTTGACTTCTATTATGTGATGGTAAATAGAATGGAAGTAGAAAGATAAGCCCATTTTACAGGTCAATGTGACCACTCGCACGTACTTTATCTGTTCAATTAGGAAATTCTTTCGGCAGTAGAATGTTATGTAAATAAGCAGAATCAATTTACATGAATTATGCTGAGGAACCTTTATTTGAAAAGAAACGATAACAAAGGTTCTTTTAAGGTATTTTCTCAAGACGATTCGTGTTTACAACTGTTTGCAGTTGACTCAAAATTTAATTAAATGAAAAATGTTCCTTGATTGTATCTGGAAGTATCCGATTTGATCGTAAATATAAATTTATAAATTCTCTCTGATGCTTTACTATTGATATGTGTTTACTTACACTAAGGTTCAATTAAATGACAAACAAAATTAATACAAGCGAATAAAACTCGAAGAAAATATTAAAGGTAAAATACAATACAAAATCATAAAAGTTTCACGCAAATAAACTGAGTTGAAATCAATATTCAGTACCTACTTCCTTTTATTCTTGGGTTTTAAGTTTTAATCTCTATCAGCCTGGCTTCTGTCTCTTTCACACTCTTGCTAGGCTAAGGGGGACAAGAAAATGGAAAAAAAACTACTGATTATCCATCTTTAGTTCCACACCAACCCCAAGAACATTTTTGCAGATTGTTATTTTCGCTTAAATTAAGTCCAAGCCGAGTTTTTTACTTTACTAAGAGAATCTCGACCCAGTAAATAAACAATACTCATTACACGTAAATTTTCTAAATATTTAATCAACACTTAGTGGGTTTTACTTGCTTAATCTGGCTGTACAAACGACTAAACATCGGCCAGATGTAGATCGTAAGACGGTTTTACAACACAAGACTATAAATAAAAATTCATTCATTATTCTTATCTGGTGTTCTAACATACGGTGGCGAACGCAAGTCGTCAGATAAAAATGATTTATTATGGGTGGTAAAATGGTAAAGTGTATTTGAAAAAACATTGCAAGTGCCGGAAAAGATTTTAATTAGAGTATGCAATGAATGTTTCGAAATTTTAACGCAAACTGCTAAATCGCGCTTTTCAGGTTGGTATTTTAGTGCAGAAAAGTTATGTAGGTTATTCGAGTTATAAAGAGAATGGGAAAAAATGTTCAGAAGGTCTGAAGACAGCAGTAATATGGACCAGAAGAATTATTTTATTGGAAACATTTACTTTTGACAAATCACAATCTTTCATGTAAATAAAGCAATTTGAATAGTTTCGACAACTGGAAATCCATCAATCAATTAGATAAATTATTTACCCACTAAAGAACACTTACAGAGTAATTTAGATTCAACACAAAACACATCATTGATCGTCATAAAATCACCACTTTGCACGTTTCATTCACATTTAAAAACTCGTTTATAGCGTCTTTCCGAATGAACACGATTCAACAAATCAGGAAATTACAGTGATTAATGTTAAATATTTCCTATTTAAAACCACACTGAAGGAAAAAGTGAACTGATGTGTCATCTGAACATTTACAAGCATATTTACTATAAAGTTAGTGATAAGGATTGCATTTCTATTAAGCGATTGATCGATGATCCACAAAGAATTTTACGTAAGCCACTAGACGGGATAGGTGTAAACAATATATATTTATTTAACGGTAAAGAATTTAGAAAATTTTCTCACGTAACGGTAAATAAGTGAAATGGATAATCCCCAGAGGCAAAGCAATTTTCTACAATTTGGTTCATTATCAAGTCAAATAGAATTTAGAACGAAAGAAACACCGCTTTGGCCGTTAGGGTCAATTTTTTACCACCCTCTACGTTGCTTCCAAGGAAGAAATTGCTTGTTTAACGGTAAAAAATCAACACATATGGAAACCGTAAATATTAATATTGCCCGAAGGGTCTGGAATCTACCTGGACCCCGACCTAATACCCAGCTTCCTTCCTATTATTATTATTATTAGAAAGTTTCGAGACGTGATTTAATACTAAAACATTTCTTGAACGAAAATTTCAAAGGGTATGGTTTTTTTTATTTGGAACTAGTGTATTTTTTAATGTCTTTCGAATAATCAGCTTAATTGCATTTATATGATTATTGTATTTTTATTATTTGTAATTAATATTTACTGTGCATATAAATTAAGGAGAGTAGTAGATTTCTCCAGTTTGCTTAACGAAAGAACGCCTATATCTTGTAGGCGCTAGAGATGGGTTATTTTTCATAAAGTATTATTGAGATTGATTGAACAATTTTATAGCTACTGCTATTTTATTGGATTCTCTTAACACCTTATTGTGTACCTAATTAAGATACTGACTTTACAACAAGAATATATATAATTACCTTGTAATAAAAATAAACGAAGGCAAAAGAAGAAAAATTATTCGAAGGGCATCATCAAAATCGGGGAAACTAACTGATATTGAAAAATTAGTTTATTAATTAAGCATAATACCTAATTTGAATAAGAAAATTAAGAATTTTGGAAGATCCGTTTTAATTTCGGATTTCGGTTCATTTTTGACGGTTTTTTTCTTTGGCATTTTGAGCTGCTGGATCAAATGTACCATCAGTTTTTCTCTGAGAATCGTCGACAAATAGCGATATGCAAAAATCATCGGAAAACTCGAAAAATTGGTGAAAAAATGACAATAAATTGGCGTAACGACCAGAATCATTCCGTTTTGTTTTAAATTATATATTTTTCCATGTGTTTTGAATTTACTTATTTATAATTTCTTATTAACGCTTTTTACAAACAATTTGAACGTTTTTTGTATTCAACTGTATTTTTTCCAATTAGAAGACATTTCTTGCTATGTCCAGTGAGCTTCCCTATTATTAAATGCAGATATTTCAACTCAAAGTCATCAAGTTATTAAATGCATTGTTAATCGCTTAATGAATCTTTAACAGTGCAATAATCAAATTATTATCAACCGGTTGAAACATGACCCTGAAAAAATCGTGCGGATTCAGTGGTTTCTAGTTTTAATCTATGGATCATTTACTGCAACAACAGTGCACTGTTTTAATGAATTGACTAATGGCCGAATTAATTTTATTTAGTTTTTCTATACAAGGAGATTGAAATGAAGAGGGAAAGTTGACTAATCACTTAAATACCGAAAATAAAGGGGCCGTTTATGAGTTTTAAAATTAAACAATATTTTTAATCACGAACTGAGACTGTAGTTTGTTTCATTATTCGACTTGTTAATTCAAATAAATTAAGTACAGACATTTTTGCCTTTAAATATGTCCTTTAAAATTTCTTAATTGCGCTAACTAGGACTAAAGGATTTTTAACTGAAATGGTGCTCATTATGCTTAACTGAAACACGTTTTATTCTGTTTAGAGGCATTTTTCTTAATTTATGACACAAAATAAACTTTATAAAACTGTTTAAATAACGAAGCTTTCAGTTAAAAGTCATGCTTTCTTTTCATGTTTCATGTTTCTTAGATATGTTTGTCACAACAATGTGGGAAAATTTATTTTGATGATTGAAAATATTTTCCTGCATTTTTATAATTTTTTTGTTTCATATTTTATTTGTCAGAGAATATGACTTTCAAATGTATCAGGAAAAAAATATAAAAATACACCAACATTTTTATTTCTAGTGTATTCCAATTTCTGTCGAAAATTTTCACTTCGTTGAGAACATTATTTATCATCAATATCAGTTGAAGAGGGACACTTCAGATTCTGAACTCAGAAGTGAACATAAATAGCAAACACAAGTGCTTTTTAGTAACTGATTAACAGTGAAAAATCATTAGGCACTTTTCTGTATGTCTATATTTTTAAACACAAATTTTTCTTAAGAGCGTTTTTGTTTTCCAGGGAAGATCCTTGCTTACTATTACAAATGTATTTTTTTAATCCCATCCACAACAAACTTCCCCCTGTGAGAAACTTACATATAAAATTACATCTCACACATAGATACTATTGGAATATGTTATTTTAAATATATTCTAGGCACTAAGTAGGACAATAGAAATGACCTTTACAATTATTTACACTTAGAAGCGAAGGAGATACAATGGAGCTTATGCCCTAACGCTTGTGGCTTTTAAAACGATTATTTAACATCAACTAAAGCCTGAAATCGTATAGCTATTATACAGTATACTCATTCGACAAGCAAATGAGATTAATAATTTGATTTATCCTCCAAATTGAAAGTAATTTTTCAATTGAGGATTTTACGATGAAAATTAATTGACCTGCTGCTGCCCTTTTAACAACAGAAGTTTAGCAAGAAAATGTACGACTGATAATTGGATCTTCCGGTCGTCGAGTCAGTTGAATTTCATGATTGCATAAAGGCTTGAATTGTTTTATAATTATCGCAACAACAATAGGAACTACGTAGGTTTTTCCACGAAGGCTGTTTAAATGTTGCGATTCAATAAGTATGAAGATGATTAAACGAGATGGTCGAGATATTAGTAGGTACATAATAAAACAAAACACATACATTTTATTGTTATTTTCATATTTATAACTACCGAAAAGAAGACATTCATCAGGATAAGTGCAGATATTACGAAAATGATTGACTAGAATTGTTATTTTTATTTGAATTATTAAGAAAGGGCTAAAAGAGAACATAAAATACCTATAGGAGATATGAAAATAATTCATTAATATTAGAGATATTCACATATTTTAACTGTTTGCCCTGATCACACACATAATGTTCATTGTCCATCACTTGCATTGTTCGTAATAAGTTCTCAATTAATATTATAGCAAATTTAAAAAATTATTCACACGCCTTCGAAGTCGTTAGCGCAAGGAAGAATTAAAATGACTGGCAAACCTGTATAGTTTTGATTACTTCCTGCAATTTTTCAATTTGAAATTTCTCCATCCACCTGGAAACGCAGTTATTCTCAAGTTATCTACTTTGTCTCTATAAATGAGCAAATGAAAGCAGTTGAAATGATTTGCAATCTTCTAAAAATCGCAAATACTTACAAGACTACCGAAAAGGTAAGACTTGTGTGGCTATTTCTTGAAACTGGAACAAAGAAGAACATCTTTTGAGCGAAGCACCTCTGAACCTTAGGAAGAAATTCTTTCCAACGACTGCTTAAAAGCCCGACAAACTCACTAATTTTTAGACAGCGATCTAACAATATGTTATTTGTTCTACAACGGTGTTAAACATTATTTCTTTAAAGAAAAATAATGCAATTTAATGTACAGTTAGCACTGAAATTGATGTCTTACTATCAATTTTGGCAAACATTTCTCTAAATAGTGACGCGAATATTTATAGCTGAATTATTCCAATTTGCCTTTCAATATTGATCTAAATTTCAGTGCTTAAATACCAGCACATTGACCATGAATTTACTGTTAGAGTTCGAATAATAGAACGTTAAGGAAAAGTGAAATTTGTACTGGAGGAACCGTCTCGATATATTCAGTTATTTCACATATTCACATTGTTCACAAAAAAACTGTTTTTAACTGTAATACTGTTCTATTAGCATGCTGTTAAATCCAGTTGTAACGCTTAATGAGCTGAAATATGTAAAGTCCAGACAAAAACTTAACTATTCGTGGCTGGTTACACATAAATGTGGCTTTTATGGGTCATACGTGTAATTGTACGTAATAATTGTCGTAAAACGCGAGACAAATTGTTCATTTAATTGCACGTTCGTTATTACGAAATTGGTTAACATGCTAAAATCTAAGCTTCTTTGTCCGGTGCATTATAGGTACGACCACTGAGAAATATTGATAAGAGAGAATGGAAAAATAGAATAACTAATGAAACTAAACAATGACAATTAACAATATAACTAATTTTTAGTGGAAGATGAATCTGCAAGTTGGACGAGGAATATCAATATACAAATTTCACTTTGCGCTTAGTTAAGGGGCAAGTTTTATTAATTAAGCGCCGATCAATAAATAAATAAAATAACTTTGCGCACCGATCTTCTTTTTCACACGCGGATTAAAAGAACGCTGCTGTTAATAGAAGGGACATAAAGGTTAAATTTGGTTTAAATGGGTAGTGAAGGATGATGATAATTAACGGAATGACATCAGCAAATGTTGGCATTCAAATCGCATCAAGGTATGATTTAATAGTAAGCGACTGCCCATCAATTCTGAGCTCACGAGCATTGCGGATATACCGACATCCACCCTGTATTTAATATAAGGGAATTTTAATTTTCCAATTAAACTAGAATCGTTTCTTTGAAGTGTCTTTAAGGAATTATTTCCAGAAAAGTTTTTCTCGATCAAAATTCCTCTCAAGGAAAGCGACCGCACCTGGATGAAGTCAATATATTTCAAGATTTGCAAATAGCTATTTCCAGTTTAAGCAAAAGGGAAAAAATACGTTTGATAAATATTTAAAATCGCAATATACTTTCAAACACTATGAGCGAAAAACGCCATAAGTACCGATATTTTTAAGTTGAATAAATCGAGTAAAGTTGTATTTTGCACCAATTATTTGCTTCCTTTGTTATTCATGCTCATTTTTATGATTGCATTGACTGTCAGACTGCTTGAAAAAAGTTTGTTGGTATAAAAAACCATTCTGGTTAAAGAAAAAATCAGCCGTCGAATGCAACCAGTTTTGTATTCTTGGGAGAAACACACACTACATATACCTGCAAGTATATATGTATATATAAAATTAATTTGTTAATTAATTAAAAAAGTAAAATTATATAAAATAAATGTTAAATTTATGTTTACAAACTGCAAAATTAAATATTTTTAAATAATTCTTGATGGTAATTGTTACCAAACAATGGTTTGTTAGGTCGCATTGTTTTGAAGCAAATCCGTCATTTTCCCCACAATTTAACAGTTTTCAACTTGTCCACTTGTTTTCAAAAAAATGTTGATGGACCCAATTGAAAACAGGAAAAAGTAATACAATTTAATATACTTACAAAACACATGCTGTCGGTGGACACGTAAAATTCGCCTCTCGGTGTAAATCCGTTGTTCATCATTTTGAAAAATTGAACGGTGCTTGAAAACGAAAACGCGATAAAATACACAAATAAATTACCAAAAACAGAAACTCCTCATTTTTTTTTAATTTACACACGATTTTGGCGCCGAATCCTGTTCGCGCTCGGTAAATATTGGTTTAATGTTGATGGCAGCCGAAGCACTACTGAATTTCAATTGCCAAGGTAAACAAAAGATACCTACAACAGCCTACAGACTACAGTGAGGTATGCGGCATTTCACGCTTCTCGATGACCGTGTATCGATACCGTGAGTCATGAAGGAAAAATGCCCGGATTAAATTGCACCGACTTACCACTCACCAAGAAGAAGAATGCGAAGACCACTCCGTAAATGAGGCTCAATTGGCTTTTCGGCTCAATGATGGATGGTGCACTTTCGGGCAGTTTGGTCACTAAATGCGTCTAGCTGATAGGCTTCGGATTATAGAGACTTATTTTCGTATAATCATTTGAACTTGACGCCAGTGATTCTTCAGTGATTCATTTTTCGCTACAATGTCTCATTGTTTTTATTGCAATTAATCATGCAAAATTTATAATATAATTGCTAACATCGCATTGTTTCCTAAACGGAAATGTGGGATTTGAGGCTTTTTGAGCGACTTCATGATGTGCAAAATCGTACACATGTAGCGGACTCACGGACGCGAGGAATGCATCGAACTCATTGAAAAATATGGTAGAAGTTTCAGATCCGAAATAATAGATATTTTCGGCACACTTTAAGCGTTTTTTGAGAGATCACGGTCTTTATCCCACGATTTCTTCCTTAGTATTGACCCAAACCGTTTATAAATTAATATTTGTGACCTTCTTACGTCGAAAGGAATCGATTGAGTTCAAAAAACCCGTATGTAAAATTTTCATTTTTGGTCGAAATTTTCCCAAGGATAGAGGTCGATTTTTTCAAAAAATTAAAATTTTCTCAAAATGTTTTAAATTTCACATAATTTTCTGCTCACGGAAGCGAGGAATGCACCGAACTCATTGAAAAACATTGTAGAAGTTTCAGATCCGAAATAATAGACATTTTCGCCACATTTTAAGCGTTTTTTGAGAGATCACGGTCTTTCGCTCACGATTTCTTCCTTATTATTGACCCAAACCGTTTATAAATTAATATTTGTGACCTTCTTACATCGAAAGGAATCGATTGAGCTCAAAAAACCCGTATGTAAAATTTTCATTTTTGGTCGAAATTTTTCCAAGGGTGGAGGTCGATTTTTTAAAAAATTAAAATTTTCTCAAAATGTTTTAAATTTCACATAATTTTCTGCTCACGGAAGCGAGGAATGCACCGAACTCATTGAAAAACATTGTCGAAGTTTCAGATCCGAAATAATAGACATTTTTGCCACATTTTAAGCGTTTTTTGAGAGATCACGGTCTTTCGCCCACGATTTCTTCCTTATTATTGACCCAAAACGTTTATAAATTCATATTTGTGACCTTCTTACGTCGAAAGGAATCGATTGAGCTCAAAAAACCCGTATGTAAAATTTTCATTTGTGGTCGAAATTTTTCCAAGGGTAGAGGTCGATTTTTTCGGGTCGAGGTTCGATGAAAATTCTCTCAAAATGTTTTAAATTTCACATAATTTTCTGCTCACGGAAGCGAGGAATGCACCTAACTCATTGAAAAACATGGTAGAAGTTTTAGATCCGAAATAATAGATATTTTCGGCAAATTTTAAGCGTTTTTTTGAACGGCCACGTCCTTTAAGCGACGATTTCTGCCATATTATTGACCCAAACACGTTATAAATTCATATGTGTGACCTTCTCACGTCGAAAGGAATCGATTGAGCTTGAAAAACACGCATGTGAAATTTTGATTTTTGGCCGAAATTTTTCCAATGGTGAGGGTCGATTTTTTGAAAAAATGCAAAGTTTCTCACTATGTCTTAAATTTTACATCAGTTTCAGCTCACGCACGCGAGGAATGCATTGGACTCATTAAAAAACATAATAGACGTTTCATATCCGAAATAATAGACATTTTAGGCACATTTGAAGCGTTTTTTCAGAGACCACGGTCTTTAGCCGACGATTTCTATATCATCTAATAATAAAATAATAATAATAAATAAATCTGGATAATTAGCATATAGAGTTCGATTGAAAAAAAATATTAAAATTAGATTGAAGCTATTCAAAGAATGGATTTTCAGAAGAAACATTTTAGCATATGTTTATTTAATTCAGGAGTTTTAGAACGGAAACGCTCGAGGGCCTGTTTGGAATACCTCGACAGACAATCAGCAAGGAAGAATGCTACCTGCAAGCCATCTGAGAGTGTTCGCAGAACTTTTGAAGCAGATTAACACTTTTCGCGACCTTTTTGGACGACTCATCTATCGAACGAGAACAACTGGAAACCGGATTTTACAAGGAAATTAATTAAATTAGCAGGGGACGCTTAAATGAAGCAGAAAATATTCCCAAAAATGCTGGGAGTGTTAATAAATCCACCAAACAATGTACTTCATAATTCTTACCCGCATACAATAAAGCAATTCATGCAGAAGTTGCGTTCTAATTGAGTGAAAATACAGGGGTGTCTGTCACTTCCAAATTTTCCTTCATGAGCGAAAAACTTCCAATTCATGCTCAATTTATTGATGACTTATTTATCTGACTCAATTATGTGATAATATCTCGATCAATGCGCAAAAAATTAAACAAATTATTGAATTTTGCACTTACCGAACATCTACTACACCTGGAGACATAAAATCCTCTACCCGCATTGTACACGTGATTCATAGTCGATTTTAGCATAACCCCACTGGCTATTATTTAACACCAAACATACCGTTAGTAGAACCACCTTTTCTTGTTCAAAGCCCTTTTGGAAGACCCGAAATTAACTGGAATAACCGTCAGTTCGAAGACTCCCGCATTTTGGTGACGGGTGTTGAGCGGTCGTCTCATTGAGTGACACTAAGATACTTAAACAGTTTATTGGCTCTAGACTTGATCTTATTTAGTTTATTAGTTTAATTTTCATTTAGGTAGTGAAAAGGCAGTTGATGAATGAAGACGAATGAGTGGATAAATGGAGACGTTCTGGCGATGGAACATATGGGTAACAGAATACTAAAGACGCGCGGGGCTTTAGCACTTGTATGATTTCTAAATTGATTTTGACTCAGTAGGAAATGGAACAGAACGTCTTATGAAAGTATTTTTTAGGTAGAACTGTTTGCAAAATATATGAGTTGCAATAATATGAATAAGCAATTATAAAATAAAGTAATAATCTGAACCTTCGCGTATTTTTTCTTCAATATTGGCGATAATTATTAGAGACAACATTGGAAATTCTACGTTTATTACGTCGTTATGTATGTTTGGGGAAAGTACGTCAGGGAATATAACCATCCTGTCGATGTCATGTAATGACTGACATCGATCTGATGATGATGATCATATCGTCATCATGCGAACTCTGAAACTAACAGGTTTTAGTTAAGATAAGCGGCAAAAAACCTCGATATTCATAGAAACGCAGATTTACTTGCACTTAGTAAGAGATTGGGGAGATCAAGTATCTACTACGAAACATAGAAATCAGTTAATGCGAATTCAATCCCTTTTTTTGCATATTATTAGGTACTTATATTATATGTGTTGATAAAATTTGCAGAAAATATGTAAATTTGAGATCCCGAGATTTAAAATCTGCAGTTCTTGTTTCAAACATCATCAATCATCCCCCCATCATGACCCCCCCCCCATTTAATTCTCTATCCAACGATGCCAAAACGAATTTTGTGGCTCGAATGGTTCTTAAGAAACTTCAAAAAAAGCAGCGTCATGTTCAAGTGGATTTTGCCAACAATTCCCCATCCATGGCTCACTTTCTAAAAAGGCCATTTATTTATCTCTAGAATGATGTACAAATGAGCGTTCTTGCTCATTTTGCCTCCGAGGTATGAGCAAAAATGAGACGGAAAACATGGAATTTTGACATAATCTTGCACCTAAGTGTCTGATATTCAAATTTCGCTTTCTGGGTCAAAACTACTAGAATTTCCTCCCTCACGTTATTACTACTGAATCGAGTTTTCAATTCTCTTTTCAACGATGCCAAAACGAATTATGTGGCTCGAATGGTTCTTGAGAAACTTCGAAAAAAGCAGCGTCATCTTCAAGTGGATTTTGCAACTCAAAAAAAACCACGCAAATCTAAAATTTCTTGAATTCAAGCATTTTTAGAGAAAACTGCCAACATTACCCCATCCATGGTTCACTTTCTAAAAAGGCCATCTATTTCCCTCTAGAATGATATACAAATGAGCGTTGTTGCTCATTTTTCCTCCGAGAAATGAGCAAAAACGGGACGGAAAACATGGAATTTTTGCATAATCTTGCACCTAAGTGTTTGATATTCAAATTTTGCTTTCTGGTCACAACTACTCGAATTTCCTCATTAACGTTGTTACGACTGAATGGACGTTTAAATTTTCCATCCAACGATGCCAAAACGAATTCTGTGACTCGAATGGTTCTTGAGAAACTTCGAATAAAGGCCATTTAGTTATCTCTGGAATGATGTAAAAACGAGCGCCATAGATTTAAATTACATAGATTTAATTTACAGCCATAGATTTAAATCGCTTAAACGTTCCTCATATCAACGATGAAATTGATACCATATCTTCGATTCATGTTGGATTAGAAAACAAGCTTGTCTCCTAGTTTTTCGTTATAAAAAGCTGACATATTTTTCTTTAAAATCGCGGCGTTTGTTTGTTGCTGATTTAAGCATAGTACTCTTATAAAATTGAAAACATTTTTTTATATACCGTGTATTATTTTTTTAAATATTGTAGTAATTATAAGTTTACACAAAACAGGAAACTTGAAAAATGAATTTCTTCGCTTAATTGGGAACTTGAACATTTTTTTAATATATTTGCCTATCTATAGAAATCGCGCATACCAAATATCAGCCCCCCAAGTCGCAATATTTAATTTGCATTAACCAATTAAAGTTGCGTCTGCAAGCTATTCATTTGAAACGATACTAAACGCGCGGTAATTGTCGTGACGTCATAGCGCTAGTCCGTTCGATCGAAAGGCAATACGGGAATACGGCTTGTCGTTGAATTGCCTGCTTTATTAACAACGGAAATAACACGAAAACAGTAATACAAATGCTGTATGGTGCCACTGTGTCTTAGTACAACTTTTAAAACGCCAGATAAGCTATTTATTCGTGTATCGCGAGATAAAAGCCGGCGTTTAAAATGGTTAAAGGCATGCAGAAGAGCTCACAAGAATTTTCTGAGAAGGCTACTGCCCATGACCATCTAAATATCATTTTAATGTAAGTATAAAAAACCGATTTGATTTCGTCTATTGTATAACAGATAGATATTTTGAATTTGTATTTTGCTTGTTTCTCGGCTGCTTTACGTGAATAATAATTTTGAATTTTCAAATTTTCACACCCTGTGGATCAAAAACTGGGGGGTTACAAAAAGGTTTTATTACGAATTTATATCTATATAAAATTATATTTTAACATCCTGCAAAGAGTAAAATCGTACTGCACCATTTTATCTTGAATATTTTATTCACCTTATTATGCAGATTTTTTCTGTTTGCGCCACTATCAATAATTTGCACTTTACTGGACTGTAATTTATACTTTTCAAAAATTTTAAATCAAATAGATTCACAGTAAATGTCTTAATAAAACTTATTTAAGCATAAAATAATTGGAAAAAGAACCTGCTGTTCTTGATGATGTTGGGTTATTTCAGTCAACCCACAATACACGTTTCAGCTGATTGTCATCATGTCATCTGGAAAACGCCATAACATCATAAATTTTACTTTATTTACATTCTTTGTTATTGTTGTTACAGTGCTTTTTCCTAATTCTTGTGTTTTCCTAACTGTTAATCAACTTTAAACTCTCTTGATAAATTAAGTAACTTCTGCTATTCAAACCCACACACTTTGGCTGCCATTCACCGTTTATATCAAACTGTTTTGACATTCTCAAATAATCGCTTGGCTTGGTACGTAGCTTCCTATTATTATTTATATTTAATCAATTTTATAACAATATTTAATCCTTTTATCTCGATTTTAACTGTTAGGCAATGAGAACCGCAGTCTTATCTTTATTTCTCATTATAGAGATCGAATTCCAAGTTCAGTGGTAAAGTGTAAAGCATCAAGATGATGACCACGTTAAGCTCTGAGGGCTCTTCCAGCAATAGCACAGCGCCAGGAATATTTCACGTTTCTGGCCATGTATCTGGTAGCACCAGTTCAGATGGTCATAGATGCCCACTGTGTAAAAAATTCCAGAAGTGCTTCTACTGTAAGGATTGCATTCAAGGGGGTTACATTGCTGCCCATTTTGAAAGGTAAATGCAGGATCATCCAGGCTTAAAGTCGAGTTTTGGTGCTGGTTCATTTTTTTGTGTCATTGTACCAAAAGGTGTAGAACCTTCTTCTTGGTATTTGTACTCAATTCGCATTTATTTGTTGCTTGTTCGCAATCGGTTTTTAGATTTTCGCACTCTTTGTAAAATCTGATATAATATTTTGAAAATGTTCATAATGTTTTATGTAATTGGGTGTCTTTTAAGCGAGATGTAGAAAAAGCAATTTTCAGTCAACCTGCGTTATTTATATTTGATGGAATGTTTCAAAGTGTGCACTATTTCGCTTTTCAGCTTGAATAGCATTCGCTTATCACTCGACGACTTAACTGAGAAGAAACGGAAAATTGAGCAAAGTTGCTTACAATATCTGGAAAATAAACAGAAAGCTGACATACTGGTAAGAGCTAGTAAACTACGTTTAAAAGTATTTAATCCTGACAGTGGTAATATCCGCTAGTTAACTGTATATATTGTTTTAGCAAACGAAGATTCGTCAAGTACGAGACAGGAATCGTATAATATCTTTGGCTCTGGAAGAAAAGCGACAGAAAAAAGAAGAGTTAAACCAGAAACTGGTAAAAATGGCAGCAGAGAATAAGGTCAATAATTTAGCAAATATTTGTGCACTTCTCTACGTGTAACTTTTAGGAGCGAGGTGAAAGGCTGGGGCATTTTAAGACGAAAAACGAGATGATGGAGGACTACATTTCGCGGAAACACGAAGATTTAACGGGTGCAAAAGAGAAACTAAATAAGCAGTATAAAGATCTCACTGACTTGGTTCGATTGAGGGTGGAACAACTATTTCAATTCGTCTTCCCTATTACTGAGGTGAAATCTATAATGTACGTGATAGTTGAACTTTACACATTCTTCCATACCACTTTAGAGCTGGAGCCATATCTCTTGTAGAGAGTTAGAGTCTAGTGGAGAGTCTAGTCGGCCGGCTAAAGAAAAATGGGTCTATGCGGATGATTCCAACGAAGTTCAGTATAAAATAGTGAATCCTTCTTTACCGGGAAGTGGAAATTATTCGAATTATACCTTATGGGGTAAGAGTGGTTTCCTACAAGTATTTGCAATACATGATGGTATTGGTGATGATGATGAAATGAAGAAAGATAAAGAAGACAAAATCGGAAAGGGATTATTGCATCTTTTTAAATTATTTAGAAGTATTTTATATGTGAACTCTGTGGCTGATAGTATTTTATGCCTTCTTTATGGTTCGGTTCGTGAGGTCTACTTAAAAAAAGAACTTGTTTTCCAAAAACTCATTCACACTCCAGGAATTCAAATCAAATCAAATCAAAATATGCTTTAATCCCACAGAAAAAATGATAAATTTTATAGGGAAATAAAAACAAAATACTGCTATAAAAATAAAAATATAGCAGATACAAAACCAAACAGCAATGGTAAAAAATAAATAAATAAGAAAAATTTGAGTTGTGAGTTGAAGAAGCAATTGAAAGCTGTTGACAAAAAAGCCTTGAATGTGAGAAAAGCCTAACTATGAGTGTATTGGCACTTTAAGAAACTTATGTATCCGCATAACAGTAATTGTTCCTTCCGATCGTAATCATGAATATTTAAAGGCTAAATAAATGAGTAATATTTAATAATTTACCTGGAAATACTAGCAAAATGTGATGGAGTACCAATGTCAGAAGATGTAAACCAAATGGCTGGAAATCCTGCTCTAAACATTGCAACAGCTCTTGCCTACACCGCTCAACTACTAAACGTGTTGTCGTTTTTCTTGGACGTTCGGCTTCCGTACAAAATAATTTATAGGTGAGTTTTTGGGATCAAAAATTACCCGCCGTATCTCTAAAATATTTTTCAACTTGTAGCGAGTTTAATAGTACCACACTAACCGAGCAGCAGTTTTCGAAGAAAGTGGCAAAGTTAAACGCGAACATTTTGTACTTGTGCATATCGCAAAACGTTGAAATCAGTTCCCTAAGTCCAAACAAAACAATACAGAACCTTCTCAAGTTGCGCAATAATAAAACTACACAGTTGGGCAGGTAAGAAGCATAGCTCTCGCTCATGCTGAATAAGTATTCGGTTTTTGTTGTTCAATTTCAGACAAAAACTATATAGTGAATTGAATTTGATTCTTACTTGATATGAAAAAGTTTAATTCGATTTTGTGTATAATTTACACAAAGCGCTCTAAACAGAATTTTGTTATGTATTAGCCAATTGCCTATGGAAATGAACGATCAACAAGCTGAACAATTAGAAAAACTCATTCCCAGCGATATCAAGGCAACCGATTCTGACTCGGATGAGATGAGCGATTGGGAAGCGGTAAATTATTCGTTCAGTTTGCTAACAGTTTTCTTTTAAATTTCACTTTTAACAGTTGCCGCAAGGCGTGCAATGTCCTGAAGCCGCTCCCGGACCAGCCACAGTGCCAACAAGCGTTATGAACTCTCAGCAAGTAAGTTTCGCTAAGAGTTAATAACTAAAACTAAAACTCTAAAACACGATCTTGATCGAATCGCCCAATATGTTTTATTGTGGATAAACTATGACGATTACTGTATTTGTCCTCGGTCTATTTAGTGCGTCAGTTGGAGTCGCGCATCATGGACTCATCCCATATTTTTTTTTATAAATATGGATAACACTTATTTACGAGTCGCTATAGTCGAAATTGTGTTTTAGGCAAGCAGTCTAGCAGGGGGCTTGGTAACCAGTGCCGTGGCCAGCGTGGCTTCAATTTGGAGAGGATTTACTGGGCGGTAGTTTTTATGGTTTATTTTCGTACTCCGCAGGTTTAACTTTATTTAGTAAAATTCTCATTGAACTGGAATACGCAGAGATTTTTTCTGTAATGCTCACAATAAGCCACGATTATTATCGGTCAATAGCGTTTTATATTACTTTAAATTTAATATTAAGGAAGCAGAGTGTGTTTGTTTCTGAATTGAATCGGCGACTCATGCATAATTGTCCTACAAAATGTACGGTGTTTGTTTCAGTGGGATAAAAACTTTTTATATCTGCAATCTGTTCCGTACTGTTCACATTTTTTTAAAACAATTACACAGAGGAATGTTACTTTGTGTAATCTTGTCAATATTTTTAAAAAGACAATGTTCTAAAACGTGTGAGTTCAAATATATTACACCTCGTACCTGGAAATATTATGAATGCTCTTAAAGTCAGAGCAAATATATTGGAGTACTTAATGGTGGTAAGGAATCACCGATTCAATTCCAAGCGAAAATGTAACTCAGATATGTCCGATTATTAATTTCTCGTTTATTTAACTTGCCCGAATCAATGGGGCGCTAATACAGAATGTAGCAATTTAATTCGAAACCATAAAAATGTCCTAATTGCTATTGAACTTGAAGTGATAGTAAAAACGGACGGCTAACGGCCTAGTCGAAAGCGACAAGTTAAACAAAATCAAATATTTCAGTCTGTATCTAATCCAAAATCCTGCTTCACTTTTCCTAGAGTTGATTGAGGAATTGATTGTTCATTTCTGTTGGCATATAAGTTCCTTTCTGATACAGGAAATATTCATTTTGTGTTGTCGAACTGTTCATGCAAGCGTTTTGCGAAATTTACTAGTCGCTATCTATACGCATGCTACTTTTTATGAAAGAATGAAAAATCACTTTTTTATATATAAAAGTTTCTTTTTTGAGACAAAGTCAAATATAAAAAGCGAGCCAAATGCTTAGGGGTTCCAGCCGATGATTCACTTTTAGGTCAAACATTGGTTAATTTTCACTTTGATAAAAAAAAAAAGATCAACTGAGATTTAGGAGAATGAAGGCCAACTGTGTATCCTTTGAAGACGCTTCATTTTGGAAACATTTTGATTGGAACTCATTCATTAAATGGGGACATCTTTAAATTGCACAGCTAAATTAACCATGTTTTCTGCAAATTAAATAAAATTGTAAGATGACTTTCTTAAACGCTAAAATTTTGTTTTCCTAAATAGTGAGTTCTAAGAGCGTATCCTCAAACTATAGTGCCTAATTTCGAGCACTGAATTATTAGAAACTTCGCTTTCTATTGATTTCAATCATTTGAAAAAAGTTTGATGAGCGGCATAAAAATCAACGATCTGAGTTAATTGACATTGTTGATTGTACAAATTAACATAGTAGGTAAATTATATTTATTTTCCTTTGACCGTAGTTTTAAGTTAATGTTACATGTTCTGAATACAACGTTCGAAGTGCTTCTCGGATCTATGAGGTTGATTGATAATAAGCAAAGTACCGTAGCTTAAATGATGTCTGTAGTAAAAATATTTGAGATGTTACGAATCACTTGCATGCACGGAAACCCGTTAAATCGGCGCCATGTTTCACATGTTAAAGCTAATAGATCACCATTCTTATTTAAGGTAATTTAATAACAAACTATACTTAATGAAATTTATGCATAATACTCAGTTTTTGTCACTTTATTCAATATTGTTTAGATAATTTTCTTTAACCCCCAGTTTTACAGTTTATTATGGATGTAGCACTTTTGACCTTAATTAGTTTTACTTTTAAGCTAGCAAGTTTTTTTAAGTTTCATGTTCTTTTGATCGATTTACCTCTGTAGTATTCGCAAAAAAATATGGTTTTGCGGATACATGCAACAAAAATGTGAGTGTTAGGTACTGTAGGTGTGTTTTTTTACTTTTACTTTAGTTTAAGATTTGTGAGACAAATAAGAAAATTATTTCATTTACAAAGAAAATTGAAATTATTTCAGTTGTGAAAATATTGGATTAAATAAAAATTGCGTTTTTTACAGTATGTGGTATCTTTATTTCTCACCAAAATATCGCTTAAGTTACACTTGGTTGGAAGCGTTTTTTTTATCCAGTAAATACATCTTTTGATGCCGTAAAGAAAAGCGGTTTTGGTAGAAGTGTCCAATTTATTTTCGTGACTTGCGAAGGATGAATTATCCAGCTTTTAACTTTACTGCCATTTATTTTTATGAATTATTCTGATTTATTTTCCTGACTGCGTGTATTTGTTATGATATTCTTGTCTTTCCTGGGTGTCAGTCAAAGTGTGAAGTAAAAATGTTTTGAAATTCGTTTATTTTATTACGTTTCGGCGAGACAACAGGGCCATCATCAGATTTAAAATGTACACAAACTCATGAATGGTAAAAATCAACCTTCTTTTAGGTCTTATAGACAAATTTAAGGTTTCAAGAAGGCAAAGACCTAAAAGAACGTTGATTTTTACCAATCATGAGTTTGTGAGAATTTTAAATCTGATGATGGCGCTGTTGTCTCGCAGAAACGTAATAAAATAAACGATCTTCAAAAAAATTTTTACTTCACACTTTGACTGAGACCCAGGAAAGATAAAAAAATCATAATTTTTATGAATATTTGAATTGCTAAAGTACAAGCGACGCAGGTTTTATACTAAATTTTTAATGCGGAAATCCCATCCACATACGT